TGCTAAATTTTTCACGCAGTGTTAAAATGAAACAGGAAAATAATGTTGCATGCCGTGACTAACAATTAATAACAATATGTAAGTAAACGAGTGTGCTGAATGGCTGAACTTGTATCAAGATGTTATGGCTGAAATAAAGATAAATTTCCAACCTTTAAAGAAGACATAAAAAAGACGGGCCATACTATATACCGGAAAACACCGGAAAACAACCGAAAAACACCATTTTATACTGAATACAGGAAAACACCGGAAAAACACTAAATACCGGAAAACATCCTAAATACCGGAAAACACCCTAAATAGGTAACCCGGAGCCTGGTCCTCTGTGTGCGGGTTTGGACCAAGTGAGCGCCGATGAAGGAAGGTCAAGGTCATTACGATGTTCGTTTTACAAATAGCCCCCCCCCCCAAAAAAAAAAAATAAAAAAATTCCGATTTTTTTCTCCAAAATTTTGTTGATGCCTATTATGTTTTGAATGTTTTAAAAGACGCAATCAGTCTACCTCCATCATTGACCATATTTTATTTTATATTTTAATTTTAGTTTTCAGTAAATTTCAGTAGATTTCAGTGTTTCAGTAGATTAAACACTGCCCTCGGAGGGCCCCATTATATGCCGGTTGCGCCGGTCTCCTGATTCTTACCAATAACGCTGGCATCAGAGTGGTACGAATTAGTGGAAGGCACGACTACGCCAACTCCTCCCTAGGTAACAAAAATCGCATCATAAAACAGCAAGTATCATCAAAAGCGAGTTAATAAATCTCTGAATAGCTCGAGTTGAAGTTCCAGGTTTAACCGCTATGTGTCCTAATCACCAAACGAAATGGATGCCACGCAATTCTCGGACAGGCTGTAATCTGAAAAGTGTCTATCCTTTCCAAGAGCTATCCATCTCGTTGGAAGGGCTAAAAATCTACTTGTTTCTGAGCTTACTTTCATTCCAGGGTCAAATATAATCACTTGAACCATAATAATATTCAACATATTCCGAGGCCGCACACAGGATTTTTTTCTGGATTACTTTTCGAGCTTTTTTCCCCAACTTGTTGACAAGTTTTCCTTGAGAAAACCCCAACTTTCGCCCAATTGTCCATGAGAAAACTATATTCTATCTTACTGCATTGACGGGAAGTGGTAAGCTGGACGTCTGTAAAAAGGGTTGATCGATAAATTTTCAAGGAAGCAATTGTTGTTTTTGTTTGTGAAATAGAGGACTAACGCCGATGAGACTACTTTCCCCCCGAGAACCTCAGGCAACCAATTTGTTTTATGTACTACTATCGTAATAAAACATTACTATGTTAACCACTTCCTGGTGGCTGAAGACTTACACCGAATGCGTATTCGGAAAAAAATGTCCCCGAGAAAATGTTTTTCAGACAATCGATATTCGAGATGTCTTCTGTTGCACAAATTATGCTGCACTGTGTAAGAACTTGCATCCTTTGATCTGAAGATTGTAGATGGAAAAGTATCATTTGCACTATTTCAAAGTAAATCTGCATTTTCGTATATCATCCCGTAATTTTTCGGAAAAATTCGAATTTTTTTTGGTGACAGAAATTTTTCTTCGTCAAAAAAATATGGAGAAAAAAAATCGGATTTTTTTTTGGGTGGGGTGGGGGGGGGCTATTTGTAAAACGAACATCGTAATGACCTTGACCTTCCTTCATCGGCGCTCACTTGGTCCAAAACCGCACCGGTGTTTTCCGGTATTCAGTATAAAATGGTGTTTTCCGGTTGTTTTCCTGTGTTTTCCGGTATATTGTATTGCCGAAAAAGACCTTCTAAACAAATTACATAGCTGGTAAAATGATATCCGTTAGAAGCACGTATTGAGATCATAACATAAAATCACGCAATAATTTTATAAACGAGAACGGTGGAACCAGGATTAAGACGACTGGAAATCTTAGATGATGATTCATTAATATAATAACATCTCGCTTAGATAAAAAAGTACTAAATATTTAATTTACAGTACTGATCATGTTCGTTTAAGCCAATCCCAAGAATAGCATGTATTTAATAATATCGCGCTAAGTCCACATATAGGCGTGCTCAGGGGCGGATTGCGCCATCGGGCGGTTGGGCGATCGCATGAAGGGCCGGTCGGACAAAAAATGAAAAATAATAATTTTGTCCAATTCGTCTAAAAAATCTTTTTCTGCTGAACATTATATAGGGGTGGGGGGTATTGGACCGGCCATGGAGCGATGATAATCATGTTGTATGTGGCCGGTGGCTTTAACTAGCCGCCACGCCATCACTGGAGTCTGAATGGGCTGGTATAGACTTCATGAATTTCACTTTCGCCACTCTGTACAATGTGTCTCGTGGCCTTCCATCACGGGAGGAATCAACTAGCGCTCCCAGCAACAAAAATGGGACATTTTTCAATTAAAATATTCCTACTTATTCAATATTTCTAACTGGTTAATCAAATGGTTCCATTTTTAACCAGTTAAATTATCTTGACTCTTGAAGATATAATAATTTCACAGGTTAATGGTTGTAAATTACTTGCCGGTCGGGGTTTTCGCCTAAATTAATCGATTTATGAGATATATTATTTGACAGAGATTATAATCAGATATCCCACCAAATCGCACATTTTTGGTTCATTTTCAAAATTTTCCATGGGGAGCACCCGGACCCCCCGTCCGGGCTCCGTGGACAGTAAAAGGGGCCGCACCGACACGGGAGCCCGGGCCGGCCCCAATCCGCCCCTGGGCGTGCTCATAGCGTTACAAAACACAACAATCACTCTTGCTAATATTTCTCAAATAAGTATGTTTTCAATCTGGATTTAATTTTATTGGCATGATTCGGGCTTGTTTGTTTTATGGGCGGTTGGATGGCCAAATGGTTAGCACCTTCCGCGCTGTATCATAAGGTCTGTCATTGAGTCAACTGGCGTGGTTTCGAATCCCCTGTTAGATGTGACAAGGAGTAGGGTCGCCTGTCCAACCTCGTAGTTTTTCTCCGGTTCCTCCGCCCCCCCCACTGCTAAAGACCCCTCCCTCCGCGTAAGCGAATTATTGAAATAAAATTAAAACCATATGTTAGTCCCGAAATGACCTAGTTTGTGTCGAGTGGACGTTAAACCCCATCTCTCTCTCTCTCTCTCTCTCTCTGTTTTATATCGTAAATGTATTTTCATCTTTGTAGATCAAACAATAAAAGCCAAGGTAGATGGTGGGTTGGTATAACCGACGAACCAAGGTTCTGGTACAATGTGAAGAATGAAAGGATGGGTTGGTTCGCTATTGGTAGCATGGGACGACAATGTATGAAAGCGCTGATGGGACCTGCTTGGAAAATTGAAATGTGGAGTACCCCCTGCCATGCACCCGAGGATTACAAAGCAGTGTGTGTTAATACGACCGTGAATGGAGAAACACCAGCAATAGGTTATTAATGTTTTATTCTTCCTCGCACACCATAAGAAAAAAGCGTTCACTGTACATTCAGTATGAAAATCGGCCATGAAGCAAATCAATTCCCTTGGCACCATACATAGTTATAATCCTGGTTGGAAAATCCTGTTTTATTTATCAAACTTTTAAAATTCGGTCTAAAATAAAGAACCCTTTGCTTGGAACAGTTACTGGGTCCTAAACGCTACTTATTTTGTAGCTCTTGTTTCTTTTGTTCCGTTTCGTGGGGGGGGGGGGCACGCTCCGAGAATAAAACCCAAGACTCCGTCATTCTTTTTTCTTTAACAATTGTGCATCGATTGACGAACTTCAGATACACCACCTACAACGACCATTAATACACCACCTACAACACGCAGTGATACAGATACAACAACCAGTGATACACCACCTACAGCAACCAGTGATACACCACCTACAGCAACCAGTAATACAAATACACCACCTACAACAATCAGTAATACAGATACAACGACCAGTGGTACGGATACACAACCGACAACAACCAGTGAAACAAATACGCCACCTACAACAACCAGAGAGGCAGATACACCACCCACAGCAACTAGTAATACACCACCCACAACAACCAGTATTACAGAAAGACCACCTACAACAATCAGTAATACAGATACAACAACTAGTGGTACGGATACACAACCGACAACAACCAGTGATACACATACGCCACCTACAACAACCAGTAATACAAATACTTTAACTACAACAATCAGTGATACACCACCAACAACAACCAGTAATACACATAGACCACCTACAACAATCAGTAACACAGATACAACAACCAGTGGTACAGATACAACAACCAATAATACGGATACAAAACCTACAACAGCCAGTGATTCAAATACACCACTTACAACAACCAATAATACAGATACACAGCCTACAACAACGAGTAATCCAGATACACAATCTATAGCAACTAATGATACAGATACACAACCCACAACAACGAGTACTACAGATACACTATCTACAACAACGAGTAATGCAGATACAACAAAAGGTAGTGCACAACCTACAACAACTATTGACATAAATACACTACCTAAAACAACCAGGAATACAGATACACCACCAACAACACCTGTAAAAACTGGAGGTGTTGATACATCAGCTACAACAACTGATGTTGTAGACACAAGAACTACAACAACTGATGGTGTAGTTACAACAACTGATGGTGTAGTTACAACAACAGCTGGTGTAGGTACAACAACTGATGGTGTAGAAACAACAACTGCTGGTGTAGATACAACAACTGCTGGTGTAGATACAACAACTGCTGGTGTAGATACAACAACTGCTGGTGTAGATACAACAACTAATAGTGTAGATACATTAACTTCTGGTATAGATACAACAACTAATGCTGTAGATACAGCAACCTCTGGTATAGATACAACAGCTAATGCTGTAGAAACAACAGCTAATGATCTAGAAACAACAGCTAATGCTGTAGATACAACAGCTAATGCTGTAGATACAGCAGCTAATGCTGTAGATACAACAGCTAATGTTGTAGATACAATGACTATATCAACTACAATAACTGGTGGTGTAGATACAACAACTGGAGGTGTAGATACAACAACAGGTGGTGTAGATATAACAACTGGTGGTGTAGATATAACAACTGGTGATGTAGATACAACAACTGGAGGTGGAGATACAAGTGATGGTGTAGATACCACAACTGGTGGTATAGATATAACAACTGGTGGTGTAGATATAACAACTGGAGGTGTAGCTACAACAACAGGTGGTGTAGATATAACAACTGGTGGTGAAGATACAACACAAACTACAACTGGTGGTGTAGATACAATAACTACAACAACTAATGGTGTAGATACAACCACTGGTGGTGTAGATACAACAACTGATGGTGTGCATACATCACCTACAACAACTGATGGTGTGCATACATCACCTACAACAACTGATGGTGTGCATACATCACCTACAACAACTGGTGGTGTACATACATCACCTAAAGCAGTTGATGGTGTAGTTACAAAACCTACAGCAACTGATGATATGGTTACAAAACCTACAGCAACTGATGGTGCAGTTACAACGCCTACAAGAATTGATACATCAAATAATTCTACCCTCAAGAAGCCCAGTAAACAGTTCAAGGGATTGTGTGGATGTAACTGCAACAAAGGGTCGAGCACTAATCAACCAAAAACTGTACAGGAAAAGATCATTTCACTACAGAAAGGTCTAAAAGTGCCTAAAGAAAATCTGTCAGTCACAATACGTAGCAGGAAATCAGCTACCGACTCTAGGGTATCGTCTTCAATTATTGGGACAACCACCGCTATCATCCTGATCTGTTCAATAGGTGTCTTGTTCGTGGCTGACATTCTAACGATGGCTAGCCAGGTGTATAGCAATTTCTGTGATGTACGAAAGAAAAATAATATCTGTGATGTAGGGAAGAAAGACAATGAGATTGAAATGATGTGAACTTTTTCAGAATAAACAACATTACTTTATTTATGAATAAGAATTTCCTTAAGATCTTTTGGTGTGTCTATGTGGGTGTCTTTGTAGACCTATTGCTCTTATTCCTATTAAGACAAAATGTAATGAACCTAATCACAGAGCAAACATATATAGCCACACCCACTTGCCAACAACAGCGTGACTTCTCCGACAACCTACGAGGTTTGTTAAAATTTCTTCGGGTCATTGAAATTTACAGGATTTTTTTTATAAAAAGGTCACACAATCATCTGCCCTATTTTTTTAATTATAAAACACTTATATTTTGATTAAAAATTATGAACTTCAAATTTGGCGATTTGTTAAATTTTAAAATTGTTTGACATAATCTGATTATAGCGGGGAATATTTTTATACGTCATAGTTCTCATTATCACTCGCAATTCTTGATTACTCTAACTCATCATGAACTCAAAGAAACTTAACTACATTAAGTAAAACACGAACTCTAATATAATAACCCCATACCTTCACTGCTTTTGTTATAATATTTTGTACGCTTTTTATACGCTCATATACCCTTTTGCACGTAGGCGTATTATGTCGTCGTCCATGTTCGTCTGCATGTCTGGACGTCAGATCACGTTTGTGGACACCCTTGGGGTCAAATTGTATATGCGATATTAATAAAACTGAAGAAATATGTTTATATCTTAAAGATCTCGGCTGGGTTACTACCCATGAGTGTAATCACCTACACATCTTGTGGACCCTCTAGATTGTTTTTAAAAAATTGGTGTGAATTTACAAAAGGATGAACCCTATCGATTTTCAGCGCTCCACAACCATCCGTTCTGGGATTACCCCCTTTGCTCAAAACTCTTTGATCGCGGTAGAAGCTGCAATTTTAATCAATGTGAAGCATTGGGGTCATGTGAGGACGAACACTATTCAGCGTTCCGTTACCTTCCTTTCTGGAGTTACCTCTCTTTTCCAAAAATCTTATTCTAACGGATTTGCTTTTCCCCTACACATTTTGCGAACCCTATATTTTTTTTCTAAATTTGGTGTGTCGCATTCGTTCCACGAGAGGATGAACCCCAGGCCCGTAACTAAGGGGGGGGGGGGAAAGTCGCAGGGGGGCAAAGCCCCCCCCCCCCCCTGCAAAAAGTTTCGCCCCCCTGTGAAAAAATTTTCGACCATAAAAAAAATAGATATACATTGTCCATCAATATTACAGCCCCCCTGAGAACACTTCCCGCCCCCTTGTTGCTCTGAGCTAGTTACGGCCCTGATGAACCCTATCGATTTTTGCGCGCCACGATTATTCCCATTTGACGAAAACCTTTTAATCGCGACAGAGACTGTAAATTAATTTTGCATTTGGTGTGAAGCATTGGAGTCAAGTGAGGACGAACACATTCAGCGTTCAGTTACTCTCCGTTCTGGAGTTACCCCTCTTTTCTAAACACCTATTCTAGCGGATTTGTTTCTTTCAAATTCGACCTGAAGTATTGGGGCAATGGAGGGATGGGTTCTGTTATCCGTTCATCCCTGTCAAAATGTTGGAGTATCTTGCATGGCAAACGTTTGCTATATACCTAAATATTTGGTACATTTCCTGGTACAATTTGTTTCAATGTATTTTTTTATGTCAATGTGTTTGTATTCGATTAATTTACCACTGTGTATATTTAATGTTTTTTTTTAAAGCATCAAAATATCAGAATTTTTAGTCTACGTTCACATAATAGAGAACAATACTTATATATAACGTTTGGAGACCGATATTGTTTGCATATCTGATTAAAATGAAGAAGCTTGTTGATTTTAAACGATTTAGGGATATTCGGGTTACTTATACAATTTTGTTTGAAGATTATTATCTTTAAGTATGATTTGATTTTGTTTACGAGATGTCCTGAATCATGAGGCTTGTGTGTATATATATAATGTCTGTAACTTTCGTATTTGTAATGTAATATGCTATATAAACACGTATTTAGAACACTGGTTTGCTTGGTTTTAGTAGTAATAGAAAGTGGTCATTTCGGGACTAACTTATGGTTGAATTTTATTTCAATAATTCGCTAGCGCGTATGTTTTTTTAGCAGTGGTGGGGGGGGGGGTGAGACCTGAGAACCTGGAGAAAACTTACGCGGTTGGACAGGCAACCCTACTCCTTGTCATTGATTCAGTGACAGACTTTATGATACAACGTGCACCCGCTAACCAAACAATCGACCATCCATCCCCGCCTCCGCAGATGGCGCCGTACGCAAGAATAGAATACGAGTTGCATTTTCCGTTGTTCATTAAAACATTCGTTGACCTGATTAAAATACAGATCTATATTTCGTTTCGTTTTTTATACTTTCGATGGTCTCTACTACATGAAGACCTGATCGGTTGTAGTGGAAGGTCGCGTCAGAAATCCTATGAGCGGCTTTTGACCTTATGACGTCAGACATTTGATAAGCCAATTAGCGTTGATGTTTCTAGTGGGTTACCCACGGTTTCGTGCACCTCACGCCAAAAACTTGCCGTAACAGACCGTTTCATTCACATCAACCAGGACTTGGATTAAATAACAACTCTTCCAGATCCTAGTCTAGTACAGACAAGTAAAAGGAAATTTTGAACTATAAAAAACGAAACAAAATAGGATCTGTGTTTCAACCAGATTGTTGACCTGCTATTGTTCTTCTGAATTAAGATCTCAGTCCAACTGTCCTTGCAGTGCTGGTCGACATGAGGAACCTCGGCTTGGGGAACCTGGCTCACCAATTATGGCTATTCAAGTACTCCGATTCAATCATCGAGGGGGGGGGGGGGGTCTGTGATGGTGGTAAAAGTTACACATGAGACTCTACAAGGGACCAGGAAAGTGCCTCGAAAACAATAGTATTATAACAGTCCTGCGTTGACTACATCAAATCCAGAGTTTTCGTGGTGTTCCATCTCATTATCTATTGGAGACAAAACAACAAAATATGTAATTATATGATAATATGGGTTAATCTACAACTCAAAACAGTTTGTATACTGTCTAAAAATGAAAAGGATTTGGTTGGACTGACGTAACACTAGGCTTGGAATGATTTTATAGCCCCTTCAATACACTAGCTCGGTCATTTTGAGACTAAAACATGGTGATTTTCATTTCTATTGTTAATGCAAGGGAGATAATTTTGCCTAGACAGCGGTGTTTTCGACATTCTTTTTATAAAAATGTCACTGTGTACACGGAACGACATCGACATTCGAACCACTCGAACAACAAGCATGGGATACGTACATCGTCCATGTGAATATACTGCCCGGAAGGATGCATATAATTTATAATATTTAGATTTGGACTCTCAAAACTTCTAAGCGGGAATGAGAAATCATATACGCGCCAAATCCAAACACGTGGTTTCAATTAAAGTAAAAAAAGAGAATAACCAATTTGATCGTCTCTCTCTCTCTCTCTCTCTCTCTCTCTCTCTCTCTCTCCCTCTCTCTCTCTCTCTCCCCGCACCGTCTCAGAGAATTGCCGATCGTTTCAGACGATAACTCCACCGACATATTTTCGACTATCAAGTAACATTCTCAATGGCTACGGTACCCTCGATTGGCAGGCCTTTCATCGGCAGTTTCCGGTAGTGACGTCAGTGAACAACGGCACACCTTAGCTTGGTCAGCCATCCTAACTGAATCCAAACCATCCGAGGGTCTACAGAGTTGATTTTGAGCTTGTCGTGTAAATAAAGGTCTAATTAATAAATTCTATGACATCTGAAGCCTAAAGAAGGACTTGCAATAGGAAGATTTAGCTCTGAACTAATATATCTTTAACATCTGATTGGTTACTAATATCTTTCCGCAAAAGTTGCGTGGGTAATTTTGCACGGACTACGATTCATTCGAATTCCAACTGTCCTTGTTGCTTTTACATGCACGCCAACGTGTACACGGCTCCGTCCAGCACCACTGACAAGTTCGGTAGGTGCACGCTGAAGAATCCCCAAGTATTTTCTCTAGGTATCAGAAATAAATACTACCCTTTGCAGGATATATGATACGCCATCTTTTCCATAGAAATAGATATATTCCATCAATCTCGATGTTTTCATTCTCCAGCTGGCATCTGTTGGAAATATTTTGAACAGATAAGGCGACGTTCGGCTATATCGAATTCATCGGCAGCACAGTACAAACCTAGCAATATTAAGAATATATTGTCTTGACGAAATGAAACAGAGGTCCCGTGTATACATTAGCAAGAACATAATAGATCCCTTGGCGGTTGGAATTCAATATAAGAGTAAACCATAGCGCCGCTGTCCGGCCAACATTTCCGTCATAGCACACAGCATGGCGTATGCCCGTTTTCATAAGCCGAGTAGGAACAGAACAGTAGGACGTTAAACCCAATCTCATTTCATTTAGGTGCTGGCTGTATCTGACTCGTACATTTACTCAGACTAACGTCGACCCAAACACGTGCAAAATACCCCACCCTAATCATATGTATGCACCAAGATAAGTAGACATATATGGAAGACCAAATGGGACAATATTCATGATTCTTGTTTCTACATTCCAGTTTGAACATTTTAGACACGAACG